GTTTTTATGATGAAAGAGATCATTCTTTGCTGATTTTGTTGGTGGCTGGCCGTAAATGTTGATGCCACAATATGGAAGCTCATTGAACTTACACCACTTACACTTGTTATCAAATACTTGCCTACTAGTGGGAGATATGAGTTGAGGCTATGAGAAAATTAAAGGCAAAAATACATTCAAAACAGAGTTCCCTCTTATCTAGATCAAAATCACGAGAATGATCAAACTTATCTTTGAGATCTAGCAACATCTCAAAAGAGAATGTCATGTTTATGATCATATAAAATGTATTGCATATCCAAACTGAAATCAGTAAACAGTCTCTAAATGATTTACAATTACTAATCAATTCTTTAATTCACCAGAGAAGATACTTCTCTATGAATGATCTATGTTGTCTGAAATTAGGCATAAGTTTATGCATATATGAGGCAATATCATAATCATTTTGATGCCACAATGTCTTCAAGTTTGTCTCAATCATTATGCAAAGTAGTGACATCAAAGTATTAATCAAGATCACAAGAAAACAAGCTAAATTACTAATGAAATTTTGAGGATCAAATATGATCAGCATGATGTACAAAGAAGACAAAAATTCAATAGGGTGTGGATGAGGAATTTGTGGAATTAGATTATCAAATCAGCTCCATATAATATCAAATTTGATTTTTAGCCATTACTCATTCATCTCATAAATTAGTCGCAGTAATTTGATCAACAAAAAGAGGTTGGATCACAGATTTGCTACTATAGATGATCATTCATTGCTCAATATGATTATTTTCCCAACAAAAAGAGGTTGGACCACTATATCTTAAATGGTTTCTCTCAATATTAATTTTCTCAATGGAAATTCATAGCAGTCCGACACTTATAAAGAGCGCTCTGACACTTCATGAAGGCGCTCCGACACTGAATAAACGCGCTCTGACATTTCATGAAGAGCGCTTCGGCATTTCATGAAGAGCGGTCCGGAGAAAATTTCAATAGATTTATGGCTGCTCCGGCAATTTAATAGTAGCGGTCCGACGATTTCATTCCTGGATTCATGGGCACTCCGGCATAATCACGCGGTAATTCGACGATTTCATTCCTAGATTCATGGGCACTATGGCACAATCTCGTGACAGTCGGCGATTTCATTCCTGGATTCATGGGCACTCTGATACACTCACCGTGGCAGTCCGACAATTTAGCCCTGGATCCATGGGCACTCCGGCACAGTCACCGTGGGAATCCGACGATTTTCTTCCTGGATTCATGGCACCCCCGCACAATCACACGACAGTCCGACGATGTCATTATTGGATTCATCGCCAGTCCGGCACAGGCATCGCGGCAATCCGACGATTTGGTTCCTGGATTCATGGCACTCCGGCAAAGTCACCACGACAGTCTGGTGGCATTCACTCTAGCAAAGGTCAGTCCGACTTTAGCTTTGAGCAGTCCAACAATATCGTCAAGCATTCCGGCATTTCACTGTCGTAGTCTGGCGATTCCTTACTCAGATCATCGGCTCGGCTTTTGTGAGCTTTGATTCAGCGATTTCATAGGTCATTCTGGCATTTGTGGGCGCGGTCCGGCGTTTTTGGTATTGTAAAAGAAACACTCAAGCGTTTTGATGCAGTTGTCCAGCAACTAACATTAAACGGTCCAGCGTTTATATTGCGCAGTCCGACGATTTGAATTAGTGCTTCAGTGGGGTTAGTTCGGCATTTGTAATGTGCGGTCCGGCGTGTGTTTCTGGCATAATTTTACTAGTGGTCTGGCGTTGCAGAGCTTCGCTCCATTGATTTTATTACTGGAGACGTAAGTTCGGCATTTCAATGTCTCGGTCTGGAGTTTTAGATACAGGAGTAGGGTTGTCCGACGTTAGAAATCTACGGTCCGGCGTATCATTATCTAACTAAGCAGTCTGGTATTGCAGAAATTCAGTCTGGCATATGTCATGAGTCTAGCAAATAAGAACCGCGATTCGGCGAAAGTAGTATTGGGGCCCATCCAAATGATTTGTTCGTACGGTGAAGATACGGGAAGGGGTAATTTCATCAAAAAAATTACAACTTTTTTAGTTAGGGGGGTTTTAGTTAGAAAAGATGGTTTTTGAGAAAAAAAAGTGAGGAAAGTTTAGGGTGAGGGTAGAGTATCTAGAAAGTATGTTTTAGGGGGTTTTAAGCAATTTTTCCTATTTTCTATAGAGACACGGTTAGCATGCGGCCAAGCCTGCACATGTAGAAATGAGGGTTTGGTAATAAATATATTTTTGATATATAATTTGATTCTAATTTTTAGAGAGTATATAATCTTTAACTTAAAGATCATGAGTATGAATAAATAAATAAATTTTGAAAACTAGAAATAATAATTATATTAAGAGAATATTTAAACTGTTAGTTATAATGGAATTGTTTTTAGATTGATCACCTATTTGCATCCATCTTTAAGATGGATAAGATGGATCCTTTATACATATTGCATAAATGCGGTCCAGCCCTGAAACAATTGTTCTTTCTATAGTCCAAAACTCTATTGTCTATCTATACTTACTTGTAGCATTTAATGAGTACAAACTGTCAAAATGCGAAGCCGCACCTTAAAACCCCATCAAAAGATGTAGTTTCAGGGCAGAAACTCAAAGGTGAATTGAAAACTATATTTGGCCCGTCATTATAAAATTTGCAGAATTGGTGGAAATGCAAACAAAGGATGATCCAAATAATACTATACAACTTGCAATATACACTATTTTTTAAGGCTAGAAATATTTTTTTAAAAATCTGTAATGGAAGTAGAGATGATTGTTAACATTTTTTTGGCAGGGCACTTTTTGTCATAAAACCTAGGCCTTAATTAGTTTTTCGATGTATATTATCCATGGTGTTTCCTATCTAGTACCTGGTACCCATCCATAAGATCCAAAATTCTCTCGTCCTTGACCTCACCCCAAAATCCAATCTCTCTCTCTCTATAAAGTATTGGATTTGTTGGTTATTTGTGGTATCTCACCGTGGTGTGTTTTTACCAGGTTGGGCAGGATCTCACTGCGGTGACTATGGATAACAAAATTCGAACTTGTGACACCAATAAACTTGTTTTCTTCGTGATATGCACGGTCTCGATGAATTTTCGAATATAAACAGATCGTCGTGAGTATACCCCCAAAATACAGCCCGAATCCAAAATAACATTCCCGAGTCTCTAACCGACAACCAAACTTGGTAAAGCACTGTTAAACCTCGATTGGAAACAAAATTACAACAAATTTTTTGTCTCCATGTAAAATATCATCCAATTGGTAGTTATGCTTGAGAGACATCGCTTGGTTATGAGATGCATGAATAAGTTTTCTTGCATTGATCAATGAATGACACAAGAAAAGATCCAGAAAAATTGAATCGATCAATGGATGATACTAATAGAATCCAAAAATATTCATGCACCAAAATAGAGGTCGATAGACCTAAATATTAGGATGTTATCATCATATCGGTATATAATATAGGGAAAATATCTCTATATCTTTAATTTTAGGTTTTATTTTCTTGATAAACCAATGTTTCAAAAGATATCTTCTAACCCCCTGACCACTTTAAACCTATTTTTTAATCTAAACAAATGTGAGAAAGACATACACTTTTTAAACCTAATCATTACTCTCTCTTCACTTAAATACCCCAAACTTCTCTCTTTCTCTCTCTTTCGGTGGCTCTCACTCTCTCCTCCCTTGTTTCTCCAAACACCTTTTTCTCTTCCGGTAACCTCTCATCTCCATGAGGTCTTTCTCTCTCTAGAAATTTGGGCATATGGCTTTAAGAAAAGGCATGTCTTTTTAGATTTGTTTGGCCTAAAAAAACAGGTTTAAATTAGCTCAGAGGGTTAGAAAAAATAAAATCTACAATTTTTATGCCCCAAGATATCTTTTAAAACCTTGGATCTATTGTGAAATAAAACTTAGAAATATAGGGTATGAAGATATTTTTCCTATAATGAATATAGAATTGTTGCCAAGTTTGATGTGCCAAAACGTGGCTTTAACATTTTATGCAATGTAAAGAAAATCTTTTTCTAAAGTGAAAATGTGAAGTCAATCAAAAGTTCAAGCTTGGAATGAGATTGAACAAGGTGGGTATGCAAGTAGCGTCATGTCTCATGGCCTTCAGTACAAATATGGGGACATAAAAGGAGCACATTCAAGAAGTATATATTAGCTTATGTGAGTGGGAGTAAAAACTACTTTCGACTATCATAAATATCGTTAGTTCCTTTCAATCTCAATCCATGGCTGTATAAATGCGTTCAGATCCACTCATGGCCCTTCATACCATATATTTTAAGAGAAAATATCATAAGACTTTGCTCTATGCAACAAGGTTCATATTTCCTGTTAGATGATGCTGTGGTCGATGTGATTTTTAAAGATGTGATGAATCAGTGTTTGAAGCCAGTGCGAAATTAGAGATATTTTTGTCGCTGACATGCAATGGATTAAATGCATGTCCTAGAAGCTTGGGACTGAGGGATCAGTGTCATGCGGGTAGAATAGCCTTTTTTCTTTTCTCCTGAAAGCTCAGACTAAAAAATGCTTAAATCTCAAGCGTCGCCTCTCTGTTAGAAGTAGAAAGGAGGATATGCATGCAAGGAAAAGCAGATCAGGATTTCAAATATGTGGGCTCTTCTTCCATTGAAGCTCAATTTGCAGTGAAGTTTTCACAAAGAAAGCAGTGTGAAGTTTCCACAGAGAACTGGGATTCAACAGTATGAATTAGAACCAAAAATATATTCGAGGAAAACCATTAATTCCTCTAATTTATTCAGACTAAAATGCTATGCTTTCTAAGTATTCTAGGATCTTAGATGCAGTAACGAGATTAGGAGTAAGAGAATGATCAGCTTTAAAAAGCATGCTTTCTCTAACCTATTCCCAAGGATGCTTCCAAGTTCTTCTATTTGAGAAACAATTTATTTTGAACAAAAATCTAGTCAAAAGAAACTCAGAATTTCCATAAACCTCTTTGTATCATGGCCTGGCTGGATTGTTGCGAATAGTGAGACCTCAAATTAAATTGCTAATGAAGTAATTTGATGAAAGAGATTAAGAAGCTTACACGTGAACGAAAGATTTGGGAGAAAGCAATTCGGGTTTTCGGTTTTGGAAGGGGGATCCATGGGTAAGCCATCAAACTCATCCTCCACTCAGTATTCAAAGGAGTAAGAAGAGGGTACAAGTTTGGGTTCTGGAGCACTTGGTTCAGGGGGCATGGCTGGTTTCATGACCTCGTTGTAGCCACGGCTATGAGAAGTATGGATGAGTGCCTATCAGCTCTTACATAGCCCAATACTTCCATTTTATCCCAGACTTCCTCCTCATAAGCTTGGCCTATGAACTCCAATCAATGAAAAGCTTCCCTAAGGTGCATGGAGAGAGGACTGTATATATACATCATTCCCTTTTCCTTTTGGATAATCCAACAGATAATATCAACGAAAGTTTTTCTTCTCTCCCTTTTATGTATTTGGTATCAACAAATTTTCCACAATTACATCTCATGGTTACGTAAGCACCAGTGAATGCTAAACACAGCACTTTTCTTCTTGAAAATGAATAGATTACTGAACCTATTGATTTCAAAGGATATTTATTCTTCAGGCACTTCTTTACCGTCAAAATCATCACCTCAATCAGTAAAATCTCAAAATTAGAGTAGAACTTTGCCCCTAACTAATACTTGCACTCCAATTTGAAAAATTCAAATGGTTCTCCCCCAAAGAACTTTGCCCCTAACTAATACTTGCACTCCTCCCATTTGAAAAATTCAAATGGTTCTGCCCCAAATGCTCTTCCAAGAATACCAGTACTCTGATTTTCTTCCTTTTCTTTTTCTTGGAGGTTATGGATTCCCATCATTTCACGTAATTGACAAGTTTCATGAGCTTCCTCGAACAAACTGGGTGTCACATCTCCACACCAAAGGCCACCAGCCAAAAGCCTCTTGTATTAAGAAGCTCAAAAAATGCACCAAGAATCACATGACCAAGGCCAGGAGAACTTGAAAACCGTTCAATTTGGTGTCTTTCTAAATACTTTGTTTCTCAACAAGCTTCGTCCCGAAGCTCTCATTGAGCCATCCCACTTGAGCCTGAAGCCCTGCATCTCTCAAAGCATTAGCAGCTGATCTCTTCAACCTCTCATCAAGCAGTGTGCCCTCCAACTTCATATCTTGTAACAATGTTACCAATTCGTCGATCCTATTACTCTTAGAGAAAACCCCAACCATTATCCCACCCATGATTTTATCAATCCTACCGCCATTCATCCTAAACTCCTTAAAAAACCTCATGCATTCTTCACACTCACCAGCCTTACTGTAAGCCAATATCACAGAAGTATAACTGACCCTATCTGGTTGAACTCTCCTCCTTTTCATTTCTTTCCATGTCTTCTCAACTTGTCTAAGATTCATGGCCTTTCCATGCATGTCCAACAATGAGTTATAGACCCACACATTTGGTGAACAACCCACTTGTTTCATTTGTGCAACAAGTTTCATGGCATCTTTAATTCTACCAGTCTTACCATAAATGGCTACCACGTTAGAGTAGGCTATGATACACTCGTTAAAACCCTGGTTTTGCATCTCCAAGAAGATGGTTTCAGCTTTTGAATATAGGCCTAATCGATAATAGAGGTTTATCACAGAGGCATAAGTTACCTGACCAGGTTGGCAACTATTTGAAATCAGATGATCGTAAGCTTCAATGGCAGATCGAACTCCACGTTTCTTTGCATAGCCATTCACAATTGCGCATAGAACACAGTCTGAAACCCTGATGTTGAGCTCTTTCATGGAGTCTACGATTCCTAGTGTTTTATCAACCAAGCCCACTTCTATGTACATCAAAACCAGTTTCAAAAAGATTGATGGGTCCTTAACCAGGCCTTTGCTTTTTCCTTCTTTGAATAGAGTTTCGGCTAATTTGACATCTTTTACTTTTGCAGAAGAGCAAATCAATGAAGTATAGAAAGAATTATCAGGTTTGATCCCTTTTGCCCGCATTTCTCGGAAATACCCTAAAGCTTCATCCACTTTGCCCGATTTTCCAAGAGAATCACAAAGCACAGCATAAATCTTTTTTTCTGACATGGAAACATCCATACTTTGGCCCTCAAATTGCCTGAAAACTTCCATAACGTTTTCTGGTTGCCCTAATTTATGATAAGCTTCCATTATCTGATAAAAACCATTAGAATCTGGTGAAATTCCAGCCAATTTCATCTTCTCATAAACCGAAATGGTACTTGTAAACATATGAAGCTTGTTATAGCCTCTCATGGCCGATTCATAAGCTTGAACCCCCAATTTTTTATCATTTCCGAAAACATCCAGCAAAAGATCGGTGATTTTGAACTTTCTAGCCTTTATACAGGTTCTCAGAACCCTGCAACATATTTGATCATCAGGAAAAACCGAGAACCGTTTGATATCAACCACAAGAAATTCTTCGAACAAGCTCCATTGCTTCGTTCTCAGGATAAACCCAGCCAAAGCGTTCACGGTGAATTGATCTGGCAAAAATTCAGGCTGATCCTTTGCTTTCTGATAATAATCAAAAGCTAAGGTTTCCGTTTGACGGTTCCTGAAGAGGCCTTGTATAAACTTGTTCAAGCTTTGGCGTTTCGATTTCGGAGCTTGAAGATTGGGTAAATGGCCATCAATTTCCCCAAGTTTGGGCTCAATCGACCAGTTTTCAAGAAGAGGAGAGGGAGATTTACAAGCAGAAGTCGCAGAGAAGGTGAAGGTGTCAAAAATTCGTCGATTTTTAGTGAAAAGTTGCAGCAATGGAGGTCCTCTCGGCCTCAAAACTAGGGTTTCCCATGAGCTCAAGGGAGTTGCAGATCGATGATTATTGGCATTTGAAATCACCATATTTCCCCAATTGCTTAGAGAGGGAGAGGATGAGGAAATTGTATTGTTTTAGAGAGAGGATGAAAGCATCACTACAAATTTCCCAATGCTTTGGAGAGAGAGAATGAAGGATTTAAGGGGTTTAGAGAGAGAAAATCCAGAATTTGAATGAGGAGAAGAGGCGGGTTTTAACTTTTAAGAACCTTATCCCCAGAGAAAGAAAAGAGGGTACACGATCCACCTGTGACGCTCAGCCACGTGGCATTCCAAAGCGATGGTAATCTCCCGCTGGACATTACCAATATCTTAGTTATTTGGGGCGCGAGCAATGAGCTTCGAAGGAGCAAACTGTACAACTATGCGCTCGAGCAAAAGGAGGATTTTGAAGTCTTTTTAGGACCCTGTTTCTATGCGGCCAAGCTCACATATATAGAAAAGATGGATTTTTTAATTTAATTTTTAAAGACATGTAGAGATGATAAATATGAAAAAATAAGTAAATTTTAAAACCTAGGAATAATAATTTTAAGTAAAAAAACATTTGGATATTTAGTTTCCATTATTTTTAGATGGAACACTTTCTTGTATCCATTTTAAAGATGGATACTTTACACTTTTTGAGCCGCATACGTAACCATGCGGTCCAGGCCGCATGAAACAATTTTCCATCTTTTTATTACTAAATACTGAAATCCACCTAATAATCATTCTAAATATTTCCAAAACTTGAAATCAATTTTTTTTTTTAATGTCCATGCATATTGATGTTTAGATGATCAATTTGAGGATATTTGGGTATCAAAACAATCTCTTCTAGTGAAATTTGTGAGATAGGCTTTGATTTGATTGTCTAAAGCCTAGGCTTTATATAAATTTTTTCCTTTCTTTTTTCTTGTGAGATGAAAAAGTTTACATACAGCTCGGAGGCTCTAAACAATCAAATTAGAGCCAATCTCCAAAATTTCACTAGAAGAGGTTGTTTTAATGCCCAAATATCCTCAAATTGATCATCTCGACATCAAGATGCATGGACATGAGAAAAAATGGATTTGAAGTTTTGGAAATAGTGCATCTTGTAACGTATTTTTGGATCGTCAATTTTCAAGATTTTATAGATATGCTCGATCTACACTATTTTTTAAGCTTTAAATTTTATAATTAAATACGAAAATATATTTTAAGACTATGACAAAGATTTCCAGCATTGAAACCACATTTCTCAATACTATTTAAATGTGCGTTTTACTTTGATTGTTTAGAGCCTCGGCCCTATACAAACCACACCCGATTGAGATTAGTCAGGTTATTTGCATCCCAAAATTCTGGATGCTTCTAAAATGTGTATTACCAAAGGGAACAGTGTGCTCCCCATGAGAGTTGACTAGTATCAAGATATCCAGTTTTCTGTATACCTTTGGTAGCTGACTTAGCTCTTTACCAGCGTTGCTTTTGTTGTGTCATGGCGGTTTCTATAGTCTTCTCCTGAAGCCAGGCTCACTTAGAATTTAGGTGAGCTGAGTGCACCTCATCTAACTAATCAAAACATTTTCAGCAGCACCTCTAAGTTGTCCCCTGTCCGGCAATTGAAACACCAGGTAGGGGGCCAGGTTTTCCCCAACTCACCAGAGCTCTCTCTCACCCCTTCCTCTTCCTCTCGCTGCCACTCTTACCATCGCAGGCATCCCTCTCTCCACCTCCCCCCGAAACCTCAAAGAATTTGTCCTCAACATAATCAAGAGCAAAACCACCGCCTCGCTAGCAGCTGCAACATTGCATAGTGCTGCTAATCTCTATGTTGAAATCTCGCTAAAAAATGAGGGCTTTTCTTTGCTTGAATTCTCATTAGATCGAGGACCCAAAAATGGTCGTCTCCATGGCCGAAACGTAAGACCCATTTCCATTTTACTGTTTTCTCTATCTAGATCTGTAAGCCCTTTTCCCTTTCCCATTTTTTGTAATTTCATTGTTTTCTCTCAAGATTTTTCATATGATTGTAATGAGTCTAGTTTTTCACCTTCCTCCCCCTCCCCCACTCCCAAGATTTTTAATATGATTGTAATGAGTCTAGTTTTTCACCTTCCTCCCCCTCCCCCTCCCAAGATTTTTCATATGATTGTAATGAGTCTAGTTTTTCACCTTCCTCCCCCTCCCCCAACTCCCATCTCTCTCTCTCTCTCTAATATCATCAAACAACATCGTATCTCATGTCATAAACTGCCGTGGAAGATTACCCTTGCATTATTATATTTCAAGACCTTGTGACCATGAATTGGGGCACTAGCAGAGGGTGAGGCAGGTCTCGGAAGAACCACCATTTTGGCCGATGAGTCACCCTGCAAATCAGTGGCAGAAGTGAAAGAGCCTGAAGAGAGGCGTACATGCAGTTTCTCTCACAAGAATGGCCTGAAGAGAGAATTTTCTCTCACAAGAATGGCCTGAAGTGAGGATTACCAGGTCTGTCATGGGATTTCGAAATGGGGCAAAGAAACTCATGTGGCCATTCTAGCTAACTCGCCATCAAAACCATTAAAAGGATGTTCAGCTGTCTGGTAATACAACTGTTGCACAGCTCTTGCAAGTAGGTAAAGACTAACCATGTTTGATGTTTCAATTGCCAGACAAGAGGGCAACTTGAAAAAAAAAAAAAGTCGTGAGATTATAGGTGGCGCCCATAATGTTTGGCTAATGACCACCCGATGGTAATTGACCGCCTCAAAAAGTGCCTGTACATAATTTTCTCTAAATTTGGAGATACCACTAAGGATGGAAAACGACCGGGCCAACCTCGGCCTTAGCCCATCCTTTGTCCCCATAAGTTCAGCCCAAGGGCCAGGGCTTTGCAGGTCAAGCCAGGCCAGAAACAAATGAATAAATAATTAATAAAAAGAAGGAATAGAAAACAAAATACGCTTGTGCATAACCAAGCTGGCACTGGCCCTAGCCCAACTCTCATGCCACAATTCGTGGCCCAGCCGCTATTTTTTTAGGGCCGGGACAGCTGCCCAGCCCAGTCCTAGATATAACCAACCTCAAAAAAATAATATTAAATGCAAAAGCAATTCAAACATGCTTATATGATTGAAAAGTAAAACCATGAGATTACATCATTCAATTTTTTGGATGGTAAGATCTAGAGTATGTAACAATTCAAAATCTAAATATCTCTTTTTTCTAAAATAAAAATAATCATTTGATGATTCTTGAATGAATCTCGTAATACATATTTCTGACATCATCACATTAATACAACTGGTGAAATATATACTCAAAACCCCTTACACTTCAACGAAAAAAATTATTCAATTACAATATTCAAATGAATCCCATTCACCCGATGGAGGAAAGAGTTAGCTCAGCTCTGAGCATACACACCTAAATCTATCCAGCCGGTCTCTCTCTCTCTCTCTCTCTCTCTTGCACATACACACAAAAACACACACCCCTTTCCACATTCATCGAAACGCATTCGAGCCAACTCCCCCCCAACCCCTCTCCTATTCGTTTGAGGACAAGGTATCCTCTCTCTCTCTCTCTCCCTCTCTCTCCATCTTCGAAACATGCTCCCAAAACAAAGTTGGTAGCCAGTGAAATTCATGGGAAGAGATCAAAGCCAAAAATCTATTGGAGATTTTAAGTACATTTTCAGCAAGAAGAAAAACAGCTGATTTTCTCGGACAAAATGATATGAAACCCAATACTACATAATTAGCATACATATTTTCCAATGAAAGAAAAGTGTGTTAAAAATGTTGTTAAAGTTTGTAGAGAGGCTTAATCCCAAGCAAATAGAAGCACTGCCTCATCACAACAGCCGTGGCTTCGCACAGCAACAACCTGCTCGTCTCCTCCTCCGATCCTACCACCTGCCAATATTACACAAATTATCTCTCTGACACATTTGGTATTTCCAAATATTTCCCTTTCCATAACTATTTCTATTACTCTCTTTTCCCTACAAAGTAAGTATTACCTACAAGTTTTTCCTTTTTACCCTTCTTAATTGGAAGTCAATAGATTTGAAACCCCCCACCCCAATGAAAAAAAAAGACCAACACCACCAAGGATACAACACTAAGAATGCCAAAAGGTCATAATAATGAGTTCACGATTCCACTAGGTTTAAAGCATAATTTACAATGCTTATTTGAAACTTGATCTATCTAACCTAAATACGAGTGTCCAAGGTTATTGAAATGATTCAAAACAACATATGAGATAAACAAACATCTCATAGTTTAGAAACCTAGGCACTCCTGTTTAACCTTTTTTCTTAGAATGTCACTATGGAAATACCTAGTGTCACTTAAACTCTCAACTCTCCCCTTCTTTTCAAAGAAAGACTTGTTGAGCTTGAAAGGGCAGTTTTAGGGCTGACATTTCTAACTCTCATATCAATGTAACACACTAAGATGCATATCTTATCTTTATAACGTAGCTCTAGAACTCTCATTTGGACTCGTGTTAGGCCATGCTCTCAATATATTGCTCCAAAGCTAGCTCGGAATTGCATCATCCTTTTCATATTGCAGATAATCATGGAGAGCTAATCATATATACCATGACACATACTCGCAATGGTACAACTGAACTAAAAGTCTAGTTCAGTATATTAGATATCACTCTCATACCACATACCTATGATGAGATGAGCTTGGCTATATGTGCTATTTATAAGACCTTGTTATTCTGCTAGAGAGATCCACCATGTTCTATTGTCATGAAACTAGTACACTATGCATAGAACCCCATGTAAATTTCTAAACCCAAATGTAACATTGATAGGTTTCTCTGTTATACAGAGAGAAAACCAAACAAATCATGTTGGCAAGAGGGGAAGATGAATACAGAGGAAGGCCATTGGCATTTTGTGGGAACTCTTGATCTCAATCTATATTTGGAAAGATGCGAATTGACATTTATGTGAAGTGCAGTATTCACACAGAGGGAGCATTTTATTCATTGCATTTAGGATTATTGGTATTTGATGTTAAAACTCTGCTCTTGTGGATAAATTAAAATTACTCAAATCATAACATCACAAACATGATATTTTCTAAAAATGCCACAAGATACTCATAAACAATAGAATAGACAAGAAGTCATTAACAAAAACAAACACAAGGAAGAATATATTAGAGATCATACCCGGCATGTGGAATAAAATTTCGTGAATATTTCTGACAAATTGTAGAGATATTCACAGAGCGTGTTGGGAAGAAGATTTGTGATAGCATCCTCGACAATCTTGGAAAAGAAAAAAAAAAGATCATGACCATCAAAATATTGCTAAGGGATAGCAGAAGGGGTGTTCAACAGAGAGAGAACAAGATAAATACTGCTTGCTGTTGGGATAGAAAAGAGCTGGTGTGTGTGTGTGTGTGAGTCAGAGAGAGAGAGAAAGAGAGGAGAGAGGAGAGAGATTATAATACATATACTACTCAAAACTCAAAGTTCTCTGCTTCTTGTATTCTTTAAAATAAAAATACATGGAGATACTGAAGACAGTGGTCATTCTTTAACAAATCAACTGCTGGCTCAGAACCAATGCCAGTTTTGTAATCTAATGAAAAAATGTGTGATTGCCATCCTTAAAAAATACTTGGAAAGAAGTTAACTCGCAATATCTAATAACCTCGGATATATTTTGCGAATCTCAAGATAATTTTCCAAACCAAACTCTTTCATTTTTTTTCATTCCATGTGGTAAATAACATCAAAGTGGTTTTACCTCTGGAAATTGGATCAAATGGATTCCTAAAATACATTCATTGACATGGTCCAACTGGATACTCCCAGTCTGAATAAAAGAAGAAAAACGTTAGTCTATTGGAGTCACTGCCGTCCAGTGATATAGCATACTTCTTGTAATATGTTAATAATGAGATATCCAAAACATTTACCATCTTTAGCTCTTCCACATCTTTGCCTGATTTCCTTATGATAGAACAGATACGAGCATGTGCATATAGCAGGTAAACAGCTGTATTGCCCTGCAGAATTGGACAAGAAAGCTCACCTTAGGTAAAAGCATGTCAAGTAGGGAAAGTATACCATAGTCCATGGAGAAAGGTATATGGAACTCCAAGGCTACATTTGCCATCAACTCCCACTGATGGATGGTAGAATATTAACAGGATTTGTATTCACGTGAACATTCACCTATGTACAGTTAAATATCCAAACCATCTATAAGCAAAAAGAACAGTAGATTAGCCTTGGAAGAACATCTACGATAGCCCATTGGACTATGGGGTACCAATGAAGCATATTGATGAAAACTGAGGTAGATAGGGAGATCCACCGCATAGACTAGAGGTTTGAAGATCTTAATCTGTCGCCCTCCTAGGTTAGGGTTTGAGTCCCTCAACTACCAATGAACTGTTACCAGTGATCCTAAAGCACAATTTTGTAAGGAAACTTGTACTTTTCTTATATGAATATCTTCCTTCTCTTATAGGTGATCCACAGCATAGACTAGATGTTTGAAGATCTCTTAGTCTATTGCTCTCCTAGGTAAGGTTTGAGTCCCTGAACTACCATTAAAATGTGATCCTAAAGAAGCCCAACAAGTGCACAAGGAAAATCTTACTTCTCTTATAGGAATATAGTACCAGATCTTTACTCTTTTTCTTGCTTCTGTCTTCTTTTCCATTCTTTTGTTTTTTTGTTTGAGAGAGAGAGAGATGCATGTAGGGAGTCCCAAGCCCGAGCCTGAGTCACCCAGTCTGACTCAGGTGAGTCCAGAGTTGGACCGGCTATTTTTAAATATAGAAATGAGTAATTTTTTAAAAACTACTGACTCAGGGCGAATCCCCAAGGGTTTACATGTGGACTCACCAAAACTCCGAATAGCAGACTAAGGCAAGTTGCAAAGTGAGCCAAAAACTTTTAGAACAATGTTATGTACTGTGCATGAAGAAATATTTTTAGTGAGGTGTTTGGCCATTGACCTTCATATCAATTTCAGACATACCCGGACATCCAACATTTGGTTGAAACTAAATGTGTAGTTCGTCAACCTGTTATTTTTCAAGTCTGCATACCTGTCACAAGAAAACAAAATAAAAATATCAGAGTGAAATGTAAACAGACCCATGCCATATGAGGACCTTAAAAACGTACATAGTTGTACAAAAGTTGGTGCACATTAAATTTCTCAAAAATGAAAAACAATTATCAGAATAAAATGAAATCCCTATATTGCGAACACCATCATATTTCCCCATAATACATTTGAAATAAACTGGCCAATGCCAGAATGGTTACTTCATAAGAATAAGAAAACCCAGAAGAACACAATTAATTTAAAGGCGATTAATTATATTCCTTCATCAATTAAAGATAACAGATAATAGCGGTAAGGTATTCCTTAATCAATTAATGATAATAGATAATAGATGTATGATGTCAAATGGGTAATCTTTAACTTTTTAAGATAGAAAGCCAAAGGTGAAGAAGGAAGACAAGCAATTTAATAGCAATGGCAGCAATTTAAAAAATCAATTATCACAGTTTGCATGTGATACGAAATTCCGAGAAACGGTATCAGAGGGAACCACTGAAGTTATAGTAATGTGTATATAAGTCCTTTTTTTTTCCTGAAAGAGTTAGTAATGTGTATATTAGTCATGAAACCAAGATATGAAGGTTAAAAGAGAAATCTCCTTTCCTTGGCAGTCTAAGCATGCACCTAAACAAATTATGGGGGCAAGAGAGCTTACTTTACAGCACCATAACCAACAGCTTCAGCAGCTTCTTCAAGCTCCTCGGGAGTCCATTCATCTTCTCTACCTGAGAAAGCAAAAGAAACTGTGCATTCAGTACTCTCTCTCTCTCTCTCTCTCTCTCTCTCTCTACTACACTACTACTACGTACTACTACGTACTACTACTACTACTACTACTACTACTCTACTCTCTCTCTACTACTACTACTACTACTACTACTACTAC